CTGCTGCTTGTTTCACCCTGTGGGCCCTCCTGCATGCACTGGTGTGGGCAGGCGGTGCAGCTGGCGTGAAGTGACATCAGAGGACTTGTGTGCCTGTCGCGGCGTGGCCGCTGCTGGCGGTTCGCGTTTCCCCCGTGGCCGGTGACGCTGCAGCGTCACGCTGCCCTCGCGTGACTCAGGCCCCCGGGGCCCGCAGGACCGGTCATGCTTTCGCGGGGACCGTCGGACCCACGTGCCACAGGCCCCGGCCAGCTGCGGGCGCGGCCAGCAGGTGGGCGACGCGGGCGCCGCCTCCCACCCAGCCAGCCACTTTCGCCATGAAATGCTGTCCACTCGCCGGCCGGCCGTCGCGCTGGGTGCGGCCTGCACCTTGCGCCGGGGCGGGCGGCTGCCCCTCTCCTGACCTCCCGCAGCTGTTCTCAGCCTTGTGCGGGGTCACTCTGCAGTAGGACTAGCGTTTCCTGGACACCCATCGCAGTGATTCTCACTCTCAGGCCTCGGAACTGTTTCCCACAGGTGGTGAGCTCTTTGGGGCACCTTGCCTGGCGCAGAACACGCTCCCGAAACAGTGCCTGTCAACATGTAGCAGCCACGGCCCTGCGCCTCGCACTGGGGCGCGTCCTCTCCACGGCAGGTGGGGTCACCGGCAGAGAGCAGAGGGCCGCTCTCGGTCCACAGCCTGTGCGCGGCCTGGTGCTGAGGCTGGACAGGGCATCATTCCTGGGCACCACCCCCATCTGCAAAGGAAGAAGACGCAGCTCAGCCTCAGTCTTTCGCTCGCGCAGAAGCACGCCGCCCTGCCTCCCGGCGTGTGCGCCCAGGCGGCGCTGGGCCTGCCTCCCGGGGCTGTTCTGGGGCCCGGGGGTCACCAGCCTGTCTCCGGGGCTGGGAGGACGCTGGAGAGGGGCCCTAGCGGCGGCCGTGGGCAGGCCTGCCCCCTCAGGGTGCCGAGTTCAGTCTGCTCCGCCGGTTGCCCCTGAAGAGCAGAGTTGGGGTGAAGGGGAGCGCGAGTATCATATTTGACAGTCCTTTTTTCAGTAGTTTTCATGAGGTGTTGAGTGAAGACGCTTCCAGATGGAAGACAGCGCGTAGTAGGGGCCCTCTTCGAGATGTTGGCGTGTGTCTGTGTTTGTGGGGAAGCGGCAGAGCGTGTTCGTCAAAATAACCCGTGGCAGAAATTCTGATGACTCATGCCTCGGGCGGCGAGACTTGCGTGGGGCGGCACTTGGTGGAGCAAAAAGGTGCGAACGGTCCTCGTACCCTCCGGTGTTGCCAGTGTTTCTGCTCTTTTCAGATGGGGCAAACTTGGGCTCCTTCCGTCTCTTGAGTGCTGAAACATTCGGCTGTCGTGTCGGTGTGCAAGGTCGCGTCTCACGCGTACTCACAGAGCCCCGGCGCGCTTTCCCGGGCGGCTGTGCCCCACGGAGGCGCGCACTCAGGCAGGAGTCAGACGGCAGTTTAGGGCCATGCACAGTGTCGCTCGTGAGAGACAGCCGTTGGCGTGGGGTCTGCGAGTCACGCAGCCGTCGCCAAGGCTCAGGCAGTGTGGGCCGGGTGTGGAGGCCGGAGCCTCGCTTATGCCGCAGCGGTGGCGAGGAGGAGCCAGAGGTGACAGCTACAGGCGGGCATGCTGGGGCCCCTGGGCGCGCGGACGGGAGTCTCCCTTGCTGGGGAAATGGCTGCCCCGGAGACGTGGGCACGGGGGCAGCTGCTGCAGCTCGCGGGCCTCGGTGGGCCGAGAAGCAGGTGGGGTGGAAGCCAGCAGGCCGGCGTCATTCGGCGCGAGTGTGCCTCCGTGTGTGTGACTGCCGAGAGCCCCACGGGCCGGGACAGAGGACGTGCCGGTGCCCTTTGGGGCCGGGGCTACTCTCCCGCCCGGCCGCCCTCCCGCGGGGGGCCTCCGCGTCAAGCTGGCGCGGCGTTCGCCCCGTCCACCCAAGGGAGAGCTTGCTGGGCACCTGACGGCGGCGGGTTGCTGGCGCCGCCCTGGGCCGGCCCCCGCCCAGCTGGGCCGGCCTGTGGCTTCCCGTGGCAGGTCTGCTTCCCCCCCAGGACTGTTGGAGGGCCGATAGGTGTCTCCCTGCCGGCCCCCCGGCCTTGGGGTGGCCCCTGTGCTCGCTGGCTCTGGCACGGGGGGTGGGGTGTTCCCGGGCGGGGGGGAGTAGGAGCTGCTGCCCGTGTGCGCACAGCCACGTGTGCGGGAGTCTCCCCGCGGGAGTCGCAGCTTCCTGGCGTGTCTCCCGGGACCCTCCCCCGAGCGTTCTCTCCCGGCACCCCGTCTTGTCAGCCGCTTTTATTTTCACTGCACTAGTAAGTCGCGGCGTGGCCGCTGCTGGCGGTTCGCGTTTCCCCCGTGGCCGGTGACGCTGCAGCGTCAGTGTGTCTGTCGTTCAAGCCTTGGCCTACTTTCAATTTTTTTTTTTTTTTTAGTTTTGAGAGTTCTGTACAATATTCATATTCTCATGAATGTGAGTCCTTTGTCGGACATGTGAATTGCAACTATTTTCTTCCACTTCGCAGCTTATCTTTATAGTCTGTTAACTGTTTATAACGAAAAAGTGAATTTCGATGTTCAGCTTACCAGCCTTTTCTCATTCGTTTTGTATTTCTTAGTGTCATATCTAAAACTTTTTTTTTTTTTTTTAAGATTCACGTATGCACACAAGAACTAGGGTGCAGGCCAGAGGAGCAGAGGGTGAGAGGACGCCCCAGAGACCGGGTGGGGCGCAGGACAGGCGCCTCCACTGAAACCCACTGCTGAGGGGGCCAGCGGGGAGACGCGAGGGTCCGTGTGGACGCGGGCTGCAGTGGGCGCGGACAGCTTCCTCGTGCTGAGACTGGCCCCACGGCGGCTCAGATGCTCCCCCGATCAGTTTGTGTGGCCCTCCCCCTGTGAGCGTGGCAGGTCACAGGGCTTCGCATTCCTGGAATGAGCTCGTCGGTGCCCGTCACAGCCTCTACTTGCTGGATGTACCTGGTCAGCACCGTCGAGGCCGCTGCGTGTGCCTGCGAGGTGGGCGGCCTGCGAGGCGCGGCCGTGGTGTTCCTGCCTTCTCCTTGCCTGGTCCGGCCTGGAATGGCGGTGGCCTCAGACAGTGAGTTCGGAATTAATTGTCCGCGTCACTCTAGTTCGGCAGCTTGTGGGCCTCAGAGAACGGTCCATTTCCTCACCGCGATGGCTGACGTGCCGCGTGTGGGCTCCCCCGGGGGCGGGGGCCCTCAGCGTCTGGGCTCACAGCGGCCGCGCCGTCTCCCTTCGGGCACTGATGCCGGGTCTCTGCGCTTGTGCTGTCACTGGGCGGTTGTCAGTGGTCTGACCTTAGACATTCAGCTCTGTGTTTGATTTGACGCCTCTGCTCTCCTGGTTTCCCCCTCTCCGCTTTTTTTTTTTTTTTAATCATCCCTTTGCCTTTCTGCCTTGTTTCGATTTCCTTTATCTCATTTCTTTAGGGCGATGCTGAGGTGTTTAACCTGTTGGTGTGATGTAAGGTTACAAACTGCCCCTTCAGTTCCCCCCACCGCTTTTGGTCTGTTCGTTTGTTTTGTTTTCGTTGGATTTAAAATATTTTCTGATTTTTCCTGAATCATCTTTTACAACAGGTTATTTAGAAGTGCTGTTTAACGCTCTCTGATTGTTTTCTTACATGAGCTCCAGCCTGGCCAGAGACTATGATTATTTCTGGAAGTTGTAAGGTCTGTCTTGGTCATTACTGGCGGCTCTGGAGACAGGTACGTTCTGTTGTGATCGATGCTGCTGAGGGTCAGTTCCTGAATGTCCGTTCCGGCGGTGGTCTTGTTCAGGTCACCCGTATTCGTGTTGAGTTTTCGTCTCCTAGGTCTGTCGATTCCCTGGAGGAGAGGGAAGCTGGGTTTCTGCTCCTTGTGTCCCGGTGCCTGTCCATTCAGGGTTGTTGCATCTTCTTGGTGAACTGACCCTTTCTGTCCTCCAAGGTGCCTTCCTCTTCTGCGGGTATTGTTCCTGGGTGCAGCCCACTTTGTCTGTTTATGTGATGTATCTTTTTCTAGCCTGTTGTATTTAACTTACCTAGTTAATCGTAATTGAAGTGAGTTGCTTCAATTGTTGCATTTTTTTGCCTGTAACAGTAATGTGTGTAAAGATACACTTTAACTTACTGATCGATGCTGCTTCAAAGTGCGGCCTGACCACAGTTGCAGGCCTGGCATGGGGTGCCTGGCGCTTGGAGTGCCCCTCCACCGACCTGCTGCTTGTTTCACCCTGTGGGCCCTCCTGCATGCACTGGTGTGGGCAGGCGGTGCAGCTGGCGTGAAGTGACATCAGAGGACTTGTGTGCCTTGTCACTGTTTGAACTGTGGAAATCAGTTTTAGTTTCTAAAGTAACTTTAGGATGATTTTAATGTTTGTGGCATTGCGTTGGCTTGTCTTTTTTGGTGGAAATTGACTTTTTCCACGTTCGTAGAACGCAAGTTTTGTATGTTGCGTGCGATATCAGTTATATCTTCAGTTTGGATGAGAACTTGGGGGATTTCACGTCTCATGACCTGGGAATTTTCTAAAGATCCTTTTTATTTGGTCACTTGTAGACCTACAGAGAAGTTGCCAGGCAGTTGTGGGCCCCCGTGAGTCTTCACTCCGCGTTCCGGTGTCCCATCCTTGCGTGGCGTGTGTTTGTCAGAACTAAGAACTTGAATTGGGTGCGGCATTGCTCACTGCAGATTCTATTTGGATTCTGCGATATTTCTACCCGTTTCTACTCCAGTTGCCAACCTAGGACACCATACTGCATTTCATGGCCCAGAATTGTAATTCTTTAGGGCTTATTTTCTTCAAGGAAGTCCTACAAAAGTTATTTAACATTCATGTTTAAAGTATGGCGGTACTCTTATGTTCCTGCAAAACTTTGGGAACTTTTACTTGATCGCTCACTGCAGACTGAGTCTTAGAAGAGTCCTGGCATGTACCTAACCTCCCTGAGCGCGTTGTCATTCTTCACAGCTCCTGCGGGGCTCAGGCCCTGGTGGCCCCGCGAAAGGTGCCTCCCAGGTGGAGGTCAGGAGGGCTTGGAGAGGGGGCTGGAGTCCTGGCCGCTGCTGCTTGGATGAAAACGTCCTAAGTCACCACAGTGTTAAACAGCATCGCTCATTAGCGGGCTCAGCTCAGAGCTGCCGTCCCTGGTCCCCTCCGTTAGCAGTCACTGCAAGTCGCCACTGCCCGGCATGCTTGGGGCTCCCTGGGGGTGCGCCCGGGAGTGCTGGACTGCGGCGCCTGAGCCCTAGACTGCACGAGCCCGCAGCGGACCCCGAGCTCACCGTGAGGAGGACACTTTGCTAGCTGAAAGGGCCGAGTCCCCAGAAGTTGAGTTTGCAGGCGGCAGTTGTCCTCCTCGGTGTCCCTTCCTGTGCATGTCGCCCCTGTGCTGTCTGCATCGGGCCCCCCGCGTCCGTG